CCCCAAAACCCCAAAACCCCAAAACCCCAAAACCCCAAAACCCCTTTTAAAAATTAAATTATTGAATTGAGCTTTTTTAGATATCAAGTGCTCTTCCCAATTTCTGGATCCTATCCAACAAGAAATCACCTTTCTTTACCATTAAATTGTACTGCTCAATAGTTTTATCTGGAACATTTGATTCGATAACTCCTGATACTTTATCAATCTTGCATTTGATTTTTCCAATTGAGATGAAATGGGATAGCTCTTTATCCAAAAATTCAGGACCAACTCCGAAATTCTCTGCCATATTCTCAATAGTCACGCTTTTATAACTTGTAAGGAATTGCTTATAAGCTACTAGTCTCATTTCCTTGATGAAGTAGTTAGCATGATCTCCAAGGAATTTATCATTCTTGATTCTCTCTGCAATCTCAACAAAAGCCTCGAAGAAGCTTTTGTAATCAAAATTATAGAAAGAATCTGAAAACTTCTTGAGGTGGGGAACATCTCTGATCACTGCAAGAATATCTGGAGAATTTACTACATTCTCTCTAATGGTCTTTCTATCTAAGCTGACCATTGCAGTGACTACAGTATAAAAGACGAAGTCTTTATAGTCAAGGAGCTCAGAGCAGGTAAATGTAGCAACAGAGTCAAGCAATAGCTCTGCAGCTCGCTTGAAATCTCTGATTATCATGCAGTATACTCCTTCGTATACCTTTAATTTGTTCTTTTTCTCCCAATCAGCTCCTTCATCAACTAATTTCTTACAGGTCTCAACATCTTTTCTAATCTTTGGAAGGTTCAGATTGTGAATTGTCATCTGCAAAATATGGAAAAGAATCTCCATTTTCTTTGAGGGGCCTCCTGACTTCTCATAAGTATCTCTGAACATCTTCTCAGCATCATCTTCGTATTTGGCAACATTCTTGAGGAAGACTGCTTTATCATACATAGCATCTCTGACATCAATATCTCCCTTAATCTCTTCAGCTTCCTTAATAGCGTCATCATGCCTCTGGATTTCCTTTTCGATCTCTTTGACTGTCCACTTCTTCTTTGGAGCTTTAGTCTTCTTGGACTCTTCCATGTCTAAATTTGGTTGATTTCTCAATTAAATTATAATAATTAGGGGTTTTGGGGTTTTGGGGTTTTGGGGTTTTGGGG